CCCCAAAACCCCAAAACCCCAAAACCCCAAAACCCCAAAACCCCACCTAATCAATTAAATTATTAAAAAGGAGTGTTATGGACTCAAAAACTAGCAAGAAAGGTAAATAGTCCCTCTCAGTTCTTAAAAAACTCTGAAAGCTAATAATTCTTACCGTGTCACTATAGCAAACAAGAAGAAGGCAGTCAAAGAGGAGCAAGCCCAAGGAGATGCTGCTGAGACAACTCAAGGTAATACTTCCCCAATTTGGGCCCTTTATAGACCAATTTTCTCACTACTTGGACTAGTCTTAACATATCTTATAGAAGAAGAAAAATATGTAAAGATCGATAAGAAGACACAGAAAGAAAAGAACCTCAAATTATACAACAAGTTCTTAAAAAGAAGTCAGAAGAAGATTGTTTTCGATACCCAACTCATCAAAAATGCAGCAAAGGTTATTAAGCAGTATGCCAAACATCAAAAAGAGAAGAATGCATTGGATTTATTGGGAAATGAAGACAAATTCATCACTGTGAATATCCTCTTGAGTGAGGTCCCAACTCAATACTCTCCAAAGCCACTAAGAATCCCAATTCCACATCCAATTTATGGAGCTAAATATGATACAAGAGCATGTTTGTTCATTAAAGACCCTGAAAGAGAATTCCTGGATAAAATAGAGGACATGGATGTCCCTTGCTTAGCTAAATGCATTCCTTACAAGACCTTGAAAAAGGAATTCGAGAGATACCATGACAAGAAAGATTTGATCAATGAGTATGACCTCTTCTTCTCAGACATCACACTCTACAAGATGCTTCCTAAGCCATTAGGAAAAATCTTTTACGTTCAGAAGAAGTTCCCTCATCCTGCTAATCTCCACAAGCTTGAAGGGGCTGAATTGGAGACCTCCATCAATGACCTGTTCAATCAGACCTACTTCCATATCAGAAATGGGCCAAACTATACTTTGAGGGTAGCCAGAACTTCCATGAAAACAAAGGAAATCGCTGAAAATGTTATCAGCGCTGTTCATCATGCTCTTCCTTACATCATGATGCATGATGGAATCAAACAAAATAGAGTTCAGAGCATCAGCCTTAGACTTGGAGATTCCTTCGACGTCCCAATCTTCAATCAACTCCTGAACACCGAGATTGCAAGCTACTTGCTCCTCAAGCAACAAGAAGATGAGAACGGAGAGTTGCCAAAGGAAGAGGAAGAGGAAGCTGAAGAAGAGGCAGCCAGCAGTGATTCAGACTAAGACTTTTCCTAAAAACCCATCCAATATTAAACTTGATAAACGGGGTTTTGGGGTTTTGGGGTTTTGGGGTTTTGGGG